AATTAGAAATTCAGAGGTGGATTTGAGTCACGAACTTTACGATAAGCAGCTGTTTGAGATGCTACTCAAAGGCTGGGTTTTAACCAACGGTAAATGCAACTGAACAGGAGAGTTTGCGAAGAAAAAATGACGGTCAACAGTCTGCGGATTCTAGATTTTGAGATATTGACAGAAATATTGGATATAGTCCCTCTCCACTTTTTAAATATTTTCTTCCCATAACGGTTAGGTGTCTGGATGATTTTTGACATTGTATGGTCACCAGGTCAGACGGAAACTTAGGTGAAATCTGCACTCTACAAGGTGACGACGCTATGGACCAATAATGATGCGGAGTTAAGAGTTTGAGCCAATCAACTGAACTTTGCATTGAAAGCAAACTCAGACAGCGGTCTGCTGTCTGATTCTGCATTTTAAAGCCATCAGTTACTTCGATTAAACAAGGATCAACCAAACTCATGTGCCGCATAGCCAATCAGATAGGGGACCAGTCAAGAGCAAATACATTTAAACGGTTCACTAAGTATATAAAGAACCGTAAACAGTATTGTTTGCAATCTGATAGGAGGTAATGACCACGTTTTATTAAACTGAGACGGTTCGGAGCTAACCGAGTCCTTTTCCATTGATTTATAAGAACACAGTGGAGCCATAAAATTTGTATAAACCATTTTTTACATTTGGAGAAAGTAAACTTTCTTTTGAATTTGAATTTTTGAATTCTGGATTTGTGTTCTTCTGGGAAGCATTATTACCATGGGAATTGCGCGGGGTCTAACAAATAGGTTACAGTTTATTCAGTGTTACCACTATTCTTGAGTGAAACTGCAAGCATAGTTCTCCTGACATTGCACAACACTACTTATGAGATTGCTGAAAAATCTTCTACTGTCCGCCAACGGTTTTGTCTTTATTGAGGCTCAACCAGTAGGCGTAGTCTGAGTTTTTGTCATCTCTATCTTCCGCTCGAGCTCGAAATACACTCACAGGCAAATTGATTTAGCGAATTTACTGACCGTAGCACGAACCCAACCTCTGCGTCTCGACTTCCCCTGTCTAGACTTGGGCAACCCGGAAATAGTTCAGCCCTCGTGCTTCTGTCTGGTGGCATGAGAGTTAGAAACCGAAAGGGTACCACAGCTGAACCATCAATCACAGCTTGATCTCTCTCAAACGAGAAGTTCCTTTGAGCCGACTGTTTAGGTGCGTGACGTTAAGTGCTGGGTCAATATTGGCATCCATAAGCTTCATGGTCAAAGTAGCTATTCGCAGTATACACTGCATTTTGACTGATGTTTTCTACGTGTGGTATGAATTGCCGAGTAGGATGAGTTTGGCTCTCTTGTCAAGTTAGCTGCCGTCCTCCAAAAAAAACTTATCCCAAACTGTCCTTAAGGAATCTTGCATACTGTGTCTATTCGTTTAGTTGCAAACATATGATGTGCCTCGTGTTCTGGCGCTTATGATGCCTTTATGGACGAGTTTGTCGTATTTTGAACAGAGGCAACTGTAGCTTTGTTGAGGTTGAGCTGGGATGTCGTGTGTAGGGCAGTCAGAATAGTGTGTCGAAAATATGTATCGCAAACTTAAAATCCCCCAGGGGACAGTGATGAGCATGATAATTCTTTGTTGTCATATTGCTATGAGCGTGAGTGTAGAACTCGTAAGTGTTCCCGGCATTTGGGATGAGTACCTACAAAATATCTTTTGATGGGTGTTAACCAACAGAGAATTTGGCCACTTTCACAAAGGTTGGTGGCTAAGGGCTGCCACTCCATCACTTGGATGGAGAAGCTTACATATGAATATGTATCTAGGCAGAGTTTCTCAGTGCTAACACACAATGAATATGATATTAGGTTTCTGAGCACGTAAAAATATCAGTCAAAAGTCGCTGCATATATCCTTGTAAGAAACCATTAGTCTAAAGAAGCTCCATCGGTCTCTACTCCTCTGGAACCTGGACACAAATCAGCCCCAGGCATAATCCACATCAGACAGCAGCACTTCTTACAAGTTGGGTTCTGAAGGGCGACAAATTCAGAAGTAAATACCCCCAAAAGACGTTCCTGCAGTTGTCGTTCTAACGTGCCTACAACCCACGTCCTAATGGACACTTAAGGCGATCACATGGCGCCTACGTCGTGGTCCCCTCGAGACTTCAGAAGCGGACTGTCTTCTTTGTCGAAGATTTTAAGTGTCCAGGCCACCGCCCACAAACATTCTCAAGAACTAGCTGCGTTGTGCACCAGCGTTGTCTCCGGGTCGACAAGTGTGGTCGGAGCCATGTTCTTCCCCCACTCGAAATGACGCCTGATTAGGTTGATGTGTGAACAGTCACTCGTGGGATAAAAAGACCGTTGCAGACAACACACCAATCGCTCGACCGCTTCGGTCAAATGTTTTTATTAGGTGTGCGGCTGTTCACTCAAAATAACTCTCGCGCATCGCGATAAGAATGTTTGCTACAGAAATTAGGTGCACCTTGTTAGGACTGGAATAACTAAATTTACAAACCGTTTTCGCACACAGATTTGCAGATCATAAAGAAAGAGAGAGCAAGTTTCGAGAAATGCACTCATATCATAAACGAAAGATTCAGTTGAGTCTCTCTTGAAAACCAAATTTATTTGAAAATGAGTGTATTTCTCGAAAACAGTCCAATTTAGGTTCAAGTAGAACATGAGGTTGACGGAAACTCGGGGACTGAGCCTACCTGATGAGCCCCCGAGAAGGGTGAAACCGGTCGTGGGCTGTCGAAGAGTTTTCAGCAACCTTGTGAGTAGTTTCCTTTATGAAAAGACAACAAACTTGTTCCTCATCGACATCAACAGATCTTAATATATCAAGTCCACAATTACCTTACAACAAGATAATCAGGGTAAAGCTGGATGAAATGTTCTCTTCACCCAGTACTACTTTGGTGTGTCACAAGCGTGCTCTAGTAAAAATTCTTCATCGGATAACACTAAAACGAAATTCAGTAAGCGTACGTCTGAGCACGCTAACTAAGGTTTTGATATTGTGTTTTGGACTTAAACACTGGGGAGGCGATTTTTCTTCATGCTTCAATATCCCGTTCCTCACATTCAACTGTGACTTATCTTGGTCGAAAATTGGTTAATTCCGGATTTTGCATGCTGTGCCAAATGTTTTTAGTTTATTATTACATGAATGTGGTTTCCCACAGATCACTGATTCCCGAACCATGTTGCCCTGCGCATCTATTCACATTCCTCGTGTCTATGTATGATTCCGAAAAATCAAGCTGATTTGATCGTGCCGAAGAGATGTGCACATCTTCGAGGGGAGATCATCTTCTATTGTTCGTTGTCGCGCTAAGTCTAACCACTTCTGCACCTTAATAAGGCCAATACGGAGAAGCGACATGTGTCATTGAAAACCAAGGCATTTAAGGAGAAGCGACATGTGTCATTGAAAACCAAAGCATTTGTCATTTGACATCAAGCCGTCACTCGCCATTCAGTCCAAGTTCACTGTCAAACCATCGTTCTGATCGGATTTACAGTGTGTCCGAACGAACAGCAGTCAACCAGGCAAAACCAGTATAAGGCTGTCGCACAGTTCAACCCAGTCTCTACTTAACTTTCATGCATTGAGCCTGAAGGGGATTACAAGGGCAAATCACTAGCAAGAAGCAAACAAGCCATGTCAGACAGTGAAATTCTTCTCTAACCAATCTCGCTGGCACTTGAACTGCAAAGTGGACAGTTGGAGTTTACCACGCACTCCCAAATTAAGATGGTGTTAGCATGAGACTAAAATGGAACTCTATTAAATTCCTAGTCTGACCTATTTTATCACTCTTATAAATGGTACTGCAGTGAAGAATGCTAGTTTGATATCCTGACTATCGGTACAACTGAAGCGCAGGTAGGCCTTTATGAGACGCACTCGACGAGAGCTTACCAAAGACAGATTTTAATGAATTACTTGTTAACAGTACGTCGAGTCGCGAACGAGTTCCAAGTCCTCACGGATACTATTGCCACACGATATCACACCTCTGGTGAACAGAACCTTTCGTCAGATACACTCATTTGCAAATCAAATTGGTTTTCACGGGAGGCTCAAGTAAATCTCTCGTTTATGTTGTTCTTCAACTGAATGTGCTGCACACAGGCCACCTCATGATTCAGTTGGCACGATATTCGAGATATCGCAGCATATTTCCATAAAGGAAACTACTCACAAGATTGCTGAAAACTCGGGGTTTGCGCCTACCTGATGAGTCCCAAAAAGGGCGAAACCGGTCATGGGATGTTTTCAGCAGCGTTGAGTAGTTTCCTTTATTGGGACCTTTTGTCAGTTGATTCCGAATGTGTCACAGACAACAGTTATCTCAAGACGGCATTTCCTGCCATCCACGATTCAGTGTGCTATTATCCGGTGGTCACCATTAGGAAGTTACTGCATGGTGTGCTTACCCGAAATTCGATATACTAACTTCCTCAACAAAAGAATGACGCTAATAAGCTTTTGTTGTTCTGCGACCTATTCGGAAAGAAGACAGAGCGCTGGTTGGAATCGTTTGCTCACGAAAGCACAAATTTAAGGTTGGAGAGAACACTCCGTAGAATCTATTGGATGACCACTTGGAAACATGCAGTTGTCGTCAACCTGGGGAACAAGTGCGACCTACTTGGAAAGGGACAGATTACCTCAGAAAGTGCTATGTCCAAAACTTTGTGCCTCGTGTGGACCACACGCTTTTCTGAAAAAGTCACTATCGACTACATGGTTACATAATTTTATGGAGGTGCTTTAGGACTCGCGGAATATGTACTCACATCGTTCAGCTGTAGCACCCTTCCGGTGCCTAACTGACATGCCACCCGAAGATTGCACGAGGGCTGGGATACTGCCAGGTTGCCCAAGCCTAGACAGGGGAAGTCGAGAGACAGAGGTCGGGTTCGAACCCGGACGCTCGTAAGTAACCTGTTCATTCCAACCCAGCGATATTAAAGCACAAAATTAAACGGACGGCATCTCAGTATAATTCGGATGAAACTGGAATGATAGACTGTGGTGCGATACATAAAAAAATTGGCAGATAATAGAAACAACCTTCGGGTAGTTTTCAAAGGAAAATTTGATTGATGCAGGAAAACAGGGAGCTGGCCAGAGCCAGGCTCGAAAAAGTAGTTATTCGGTTTAGCAGACCGAAAAATGACAGCAAATAACAACTGAGGTGATGGTGTGTGTGTGTGTGGTCAGGTTATTATCGATCGTGAGGAAAATTGCGATGTCCTTGTACTGAACTGGTAAACATGTGGACAGAAGAGAAGAGGTCTAGAAGGAATATCAGTTAAATAAGAGAAAAAACAATTGCTTGGGAAAGGTGCTACGTGAGCACCCGTAAATATGCAGTGGGTATCACAACGCAATTTCATGTATCACAAGCGAGATTCCGGAAATGCTGAAGACCATATCGCTAAGCTTGCGATGGCGTCCCCTCTTCCTCCAACTTGGCCAGAAAGGTAGGGACTCGGTAGGCGGCGTCCGTCTGGAGAAAAATGCGAGTAGAGTTAAGTTAGTGTATGAAGACAGATGAGATGCCGAGTAGTTTGTTCCGGTAAATAATAATAATCGTTCAGCTGTAGCGCCCTTTCGGTGTCTAGCTGCCATGCCACCCGAAGGAAGCACGAGGTCTGGGATACTGTCAAGTTGCCCAAGCCTAGACAGGGGAAGTCGAAAGACAGAGGTCGGGTTCGAACCATGGACCTTCCGATCAGTAAATTCGCGCTCTAACCACTTGAGCCATCTCACCCATTTGTTTCGGTAATAGAACAGAAGAAACTTGTGACTTGATTGATCAGAGCACTTGTTCAGCGAGTGCGCCAAGAACAGCCACAAAAGCTGGTGGCTTTAATCGGATTCCGGAGGAATTTGGCCTCCTCCACCACCCGAAACGAGACAGTTACACATACTACTGAGAAAAGTACGAGGAAAAGGAATACTCAATCAACTCAGTGTTTATCTCCCTGTTTCCAGAGGTGAACTCTTTGGCATGACAGAGTACTGCAACTTTGACCTTAATAGAACCGTACCAATTCAGCCATTTCTCAGCTGGGTTTGACAAACATACAAAGATCGGTTTTCGAGTAGTTTCCCAAGACGTAATCATATAGTTCAAGTGATACAGTAATGTTATTGTCCACCGAAGAATGTCCGATAAGGAGACCGGACAGCAAAGTTGATATCTGTTGACTCGCGGTAGGACTCTCTGCTCTTGTCAAATTGTACGCTCACGCCACCTGCTATGAATGCTTGTCACGGACATAAACCTCTATCCACTCAACAACGGTGAGCGAACCGCTGAAGTGGTCGAGGCCTCTTAAATGGTGTTTGTGGCTCTGACTACAACGCCGTTATGTTGACCTAAACCATCTTCTAATATTTTTTACGATATGATATGATATGAACACTCACTCAGATTCAAAGAATGGTCGAGATGGATGCTTTATCATCAGCATCATTGATAGCAACATCTGTGCTTCGCTAGGTGTTGATAGAGCTATGTGAATTCGAAAGTTATTAAAATCCCGCCGATGTGTGATGAGTTTACTGTACATAGGTCCGGTAGCCCAACACATTTTATAACAAATCACAAACCGCCCATAAAGCTCGGTTCACTGGAATATTTGTGAAAAGCGACCTAAGATCAAGGTTGACTGGTTGGTTTACGAATCGAGGGATAGTGGTCGTAAATTCCAAATCAGATTCACGGGCTTAGTGTGGTTGCTTCCTCGAAACGTTTGAGTTACTGCTCCATTGTCAGTAGTTAAACAGATATGCATCAAGTTACCACACAACCTAAGCAGATGTGCGTTCTGCAAAGGTTGTCACTGCGAGTGTGGACGAATGAACTCTGTATGTGAACGTACTGTGCTCCTCATATTAACATTCTCCTAAGTGTATGAGAATGAATAGTAAACTCCCTAAAGGCTTCCCTACCGTAAGCGGTGTTCAAAAAATATTTCCATTCTCTCCGTTGTTCAACTTCTTCATTGATGAAATAATGAGGCGAACAATGGAAGGTCTTCAAAACTCTGGTGTTGAAAGTGTTGTTGGTGATAATCTTGTCGATCTGAAGCGCGTGGATTTCGTTATCCCCTCATCTTTGAAAACAAAGGTGAAGCACAAGCTCTGATGCTCAAACTGACCACCATCGCATCTTTCGGCACTGGCTTTCATGCCCGGTTGTATGGTTATAGCCTGACTTCGCCTGACGCGTCCCCACCCCCTTCACGACTTTGCGAACTTGGCTGCTCGAGAAAGTCAACTGAATGGCAATTTAAGTACGTTAACAGCCAGCTATAGAGTTTCATCTGTCACGTGTAACTTCGTTCCTTCCAAAACCATCTGACGTATTTTGGCACCAGTGACCTGCCAGATCTGTCACGTACGTATTAGAAATTAACGACAAAATTCTTCATCAAAATTCACAAGACGGCAGTAGTGAGTACTGCCATACAGCCATGAGAAAAGAACGCCTTGGCAAAGTAGATGGCATCGCGGTCTAAAGAGCAAATACTCATGTCCAGCAGGAGGCAAATGTGAAAATAAAACGCTATAATAACAAAGCAGCAATGTGTGAGGATAAGTCGCCTTCGTGGAGGTTCGTTCGAAGACAGCATGGTTCACCTGCCTGAGCATTTGTTGGAAGATACTCCTCAGCTCTTCAACCTTCCCATATGGTCTACTTTTGATCCCCATGAAATCAACTACCTCTGTAAGGTTGTAATGATTAGCTGAAGAGAACTGACACCAAAACAGCTGGACTCAAAGGCTTAAAACCGCTTTGTCAGAAACAGTAAGAATCGAAACTGCTCGTCGCAGAGAAAGATGACGGTGATCGAGTGGCCCGGGGCGGACAAACAAACTTTCAAGAAAGAGGTCACCAACCTTAGAAACCAAGTCCACAAGTTCTATCAAGTGCTTGATACCGATGCAGAACCTGTTAAGGGAAGGAAACAGATAGGAACCATTAAGGCGACAGGAAAACAAGGCAAGAATCTTTTCGACCGAATGAAACAAATTAATACGGAGGCGAATTTCACCAGCTAAGGCATATTACTTCCATATCAAATCTGAAATTAAAGTCCGGTCGTTCTGTCACATGCGCAAAGATTATTGACCTGAAGTGTACGGGTAAGACTATGAAACGATGGATCAGCCAAAGACTGTAAAAATATGAGAAAGAAAAGTCACCTAGGAGGGATTAGAAAATGTATGAATATGACAGAGAGTGGTCTAGTAACACGTCAAACCACACGCCAAATAACTGCGGAACTTTGCATCTCCCAAGATCATGCAACGTAACGGAACGTTATGTTCACAAGAGCTCAAGTGCATAACTGTCATTCCCGGTTTGAGAAAAAAATCCGCGTTGAGACAGCTTAACAGCTTTGTCAACAAGGCAATCTGCGCAACAGAGCATTCCCGTAAGTAACGATAACAAACTTACCGACTTCCGGAAATTGACCTTTCGATCTTTTGTCTCTCAGACGACGTAAAGCGATCATCTTCTTCTAGAGCGGACATAATGTGTTCTGGTTTAGACATGGCATTCACGTGAATGTGCCACGAAAAGGCTTGGGTCAAATTCTGCTCGGCTAGTTCGGCGCGACAGCTGGTTGTGGCTAGTACGAGCATTCTTCGTCCCTGCAAGAGAGGGAGGAGTTAGAGAACAGAAAGCAAGCAATGATGAATAGACCAGGGAAAGATGAATTATGTCGACATAACCCAGATGAATTCTGGGTTCTTCAGACATTCTCTATTATGATGGACAGACTCCCGCAAAAGAGTGGTTCACCAATGGTAAGTGATGGAAATCCGGTAAGATAATGGCGGTGCATCATAACTTGCGATAGTCACAGCTTCTGTTATCTGTAAGTGTACAGGCCCTACTGGGAATCGATGCAGATGATTGGAGATGGAGCCCCTTGAAAAAAATAAGACGGAAGTACTCCCAATGAAACGATGAGTGATCATTTTGCTGGGGATGAACATAAAACTCCGCCCGTGAGCAGCATGAAAAAAATGCGAAAAATTCAAGATATGGAAATGTACATCCAAGCATTGTGATGCAATGAAAATCGCCTCTGCACTAACATCTGCCTGTTTTCTTTCGTTTACAGCTCACGAACATTCGTACGGCCTCATACTGGATCACAACAGACAGTTAGTTTCATTGGTAATGGCCGCTGGCGTCTCTATCCAAATAGGTTGGAATTCCGACAAACGTTGGCTGCTTTCGAGCAGCTGAGACAATTACCGGAATCATCAAATCAACAAGAAGAGGAGGCAATTAAAGGAGTGCTTAGGAGCTGGCTTCACGTAGGAAGTTGTGCAGCTAACAAGTGAAAGTAGCGGCGTGGGATCCACCGCGCTACACACACGATAGATGTGTTTCGTGCCTTCCGTTCAGGATACGCTAACAAGCAAACAAACAACGCTTTGAAATAATGACGGTGAAACAAGGAAACGAAAACCAGGGCGCCAGAAACTTACGGCTTTCAGTGGCTGTGACACCAGATCTCGTATTGCTTGTACGATAAAGTTAGAGAACCTGGGTCCAACTGGGTTGTATTCAATCAGTCCCTCGATGTTGTCCACAATCACGACACTGAGGGGTGACTTGGCTCCATCATCGAAAATCTACCGGGTAGAAAACACCATTCATTACACACGACAGTGTACGGCAGCGAAAACACACTTATAGTGAAAAGAAACTACGAAGTGGTTGCAGCGGGAATGTTCGTGGCTGGAACATTATTCGGAAATTTCGAAGGGACAGTCAAATTAAGTTTGACCAGTTTGACCAACACTCAGGTTTTAAGAGGCCAGACGTACTCACCTTTTCGAGAAATACACTCATTTGCAAATCAATTTGGTTTTCACGAGAGACTCAACTGGATCTCTCGTGAAAACCAAATTGATTTGCAAATGAGTGTATTTCTCGAAAAGGTGAGTACGTCTGGCCTCTTAAAACCTGAGTGTTGGTCATACTGGTCAAACTTAATTTGACTGTCCCTTCGAAATTTCCGAATAATGTTCCAGCCACGAACATTCCCGCTGCAATCACTTCGTAGTTTTTTTTTCACTATAAGTGTGTTTTCGCTGCCGTACACTGTCGTGTGTAATGAATGGTGTTTTCTACCCGGTAGATTTTCGATGATGGAGCCAAGTCACCCCTCAGTGTCGTGATTGTGGACAACATCGAGGGACTGATTGAATACAACCCAGTTGGACCCAGGTTCTCTAACTTTATCGTACAAGCAATACGAGATCTGGTGTCACAGCCACTGAAAGCCGTAAGTTTCTGGCGCCCTGGTTTTCGTTTCCTTGTTTCACCGTCATTATTTCAAAGCGTTGTTTGTTTGCTTGTTAGCCTATCCTGAACGGAAGGCACGAAACACATCTATCGTGTGTGTAGCGCGGTGGATCCCACGCCGCTACTTTCACTTGTTAGCTGCACAACTTCCTACGTGAAGCCAGCTCCTAAGCACTCCTTTAATTGCCTCCTCTTCTTGTTGATTTGATGATTCCGGTAATTGTCTCAGCTGCTCGAAAGCAGCCAACGTTTGTCGGAATTCCAACCTATTTGGATAGAGACGCCAGCGGCCATTACCAATGAAACTAACTGTCTGTTGTGATCCAGTATGAGGCCGTACGAATGTTCGTGAGCTGTAAACGAAAGAAAACAGGCAGATGTTAGTGCAGAGGCGATTTTCATTGCATCACAATGCTTGGATGTACATTTCCATATCTTGAATTTTTCGCATTTTTTTCATGCTGCTCACGGGCGGAGTTTTATGTTCATCCCCAGCAAAATGATCACTCATCGTTTCATTGGGAGTACTTCCGTCTTATTTTTTTCAAGGGGCTCCATCTCCAATCATCTGCATCGATTCCCAGTAGGGCCTGTACACTTACAGATAACAGAAGCTGTGACTATCGCAAGTTATGATGCACCGCCATTATCTTACCGGATTTCCATCACTTACCATTGGTGAACCACTCTTTTGCTCTCTCGTGAAAACCAAATTGATTTGCAAATGAGTGTATTTCTCGAAAACAGTCCAATTTGGGTTCACGTAGATCATAAGGTTTACGGAAACTCGGGGACTGCGCCTACCTGATAAGCCCCAAAAAGGGCGAAACCGGTCGTGGACTGTCGAAGAGTTTCCAACAACCTTGTGAGTAGTTTCCTTTACGAAAAGGTACTCACCTTCTTCATTGTTGCGCACTTAGCCATTTCGGTGTAGCCGATCATCTTGTGAGAAGTGACGATTTTGATGAACGGAAACCCGGAACGCTTAGCAATTTCTACTGCCAGAGCCGTCTTTCCAGCCTTAGGTGGGCCTTCCAAAAGCAGAGTTAGAGGGCGATAGGTTTCAACATCTGCCTCACCCACAGCACGAACAGCCAGACGACCCATATTCAACGCCTCAGAGACACATTCACCCCAAGTCATAATACCACGCGGTGCGTAGCAGCTCAGCTCTTCTTCAGCAGTGCCAAAAGCCTGTAGTAAACAAATGGAGAGGAAGTGTTAAATGGAACGATAAATTAATTAAATCCCATACATACCATAATCCTTTCGTCTTGGTTTTGACAGGAAAGTGGTTATGTGGCCGTGAAAGTAGGTACCGGGAAGTTATCTTTCCTATAGATGCCGTCAAATGACCTGTCTACTTTCAGTATGGAAGTATTGTTCAGTAATAGTTAAGAACGGAGCAATGGACCGTACACGCGTCTACTTTGCCTTCGATTGTCTCCAAAGAACCCAGGGTGTTTAATTACTGATATCTTTTGTTTTCCAGACAATATGAGAATGATTTTACCATACTGTAGTTTCGCACGCACCGCGTGCCCATCCCGTCACTCTCGCCACGGACGGACCGACGATTGTTTGTTGAACTTTGCTCTTGTTTCGAAAGGAGAGTTATTAAAAAAATTACTGTGCATATTGCAGAATACTAACGAGATAACAGTGTCGTTAGTTCACATTTGGAGACTAAGAAATATTACAGTACAACTGTTTATGAAAATCAGACAGCTTACTTGAGAGTTAACCTCGTCCCACAAGCCTGAAGTCAACTTGTCTCTATGAGAACTTAAACAGCATAATTTCAGGCAAACAATTCTTAAAGTTGACATTGAGCGAATCGAATCTAGTCAGACGGCGGAAACGCGGTTTGAGTGCCTAGACGGGTCTATCGCTATGCGCGTTTCCCCCTTACCCCATATTACCAAAAAAAGAAACTACCGGTAGGCGGATAGTATCCGCCACACCAGCTTACGAGCAATAAATTAAGTCGTAAAACTTTGATCTCCTGCCTGCCATCTAAAACTGGATTCGGGAATGGATAACCATGGGATGTGCGCAAATTTAAGTCACGAAGACCTGAAAGTTCGGTGGCGGAATCCGACAGAACTAGCTGTTGTGGTGAGCGGTTTGTTTACTGTTCGGTTAACTTATCAGGATCGATAGTGAAGTTGAAGCATGAGAGTAAGAGAAAACGGATTGCCTGAGGGCAATCCGATTAAGTTAGGCGCACATAGCGGAAAAATAAACGTCAAGAGACCGGTTTTATCACAGTAACAAGTCAGTGTAGTCCAATTCCAGCATGTACCGTCAGCATCGTCGTCATCATTGACAACAGATGGGCACAGTAGTGCTTCGCTGCCATACAACCAAACCAATTTGTTTCAATAGAGCCTTATAATGGAAAGAAACAGATAGGACAAGGAGAGGGACCTCGGAATGCTTTGCCACAAACATCCGAGGTGCATACACCATCAACACTTAACCAGAAAACTTGGATAGCAACAGCATTAGGGCCACCGACTAACGAGCATACCGTTCAGTGACCCCAACCATGCACAGAAAGCATTACGTGGACCCCATTCTAAAAGGCGAACAACACCAAAAGCGCTTTTCATTCCCTCATTTCATGCCAAATTCTGTCCACTTCTGGGTTTCCCCCACTCCAAATTAGGCATCGAAAATGGCGCTCATCTCAGAAGGTAGTAACTAGGGCCTTCGTCACACACGACCCAGCCATCATCATCATAATCAACGGCATGACATCAGTGTTCAACACCGATGCTTCACTGCCGTACACGACCCAGCCACCGTAGCATGTACCGCTGAATGCATTCTTTGAAGGACTACCCCCTGCTTCATCAGAACCTATCTTCTGATCACCTCACTGCGCATTCGCCGGTTGCAGGCAATTGCGGCTACCCTCTGAGACATCCGTAGTCAGAGACTTGAGGATGCTTCCGCCCGAATAGACCAAGTCAGGAAGCCGTACAACAGTACAGCCCGCACTTTGGTCTGATACACTTGTTCCTTAAAACCAAGTGAGATACACTTTTGATATCATAACTGGCGATAATTGGCAAAAGCGATTCTGGCCTTTGAGATTCGTGCGACTCAGCACGCAAAATGCTACCACGGAAGCACTATATTGTTTTACCCAGTCAGCCTGAAATAAAGCTCTGCTGAATGTCTCACGGGCACTATTAGCGAGTAAGAAAGTAAGATCACCATGCGATACAGTTGATTATCAAGTGGCTAAAAGCCTTTGGATGATGATGGTTGTTGCAGCCGTGAATCGACGATTCATTTTGGTCAACAGGATCATTAGTTGACGACCAACAAACTGTAGCAAGAAATAGACCCCATTCGCAGAACATCATGGCGCATAAGGCCAACCGAGTTCAACGGAAAATATCCACGAACTTCAAAGGTAATTAGTGCACGGTCCTTTAGATGGGTTTGTTTATAGGGGTTAGTGACAGGTGACCGCAAAAATGAAACCGAGTGAGTTCACTGGTTCCGAAAGAATTCATTCAAAGGGCACTGAGGAAGAGGTACTAGAAGGAGACTAAATTGAGAAAATTCGCTGTTACCAATAAACTTCTCAGTATGGATCTCTTCGAGATAGGTAAGGTGCAGACTGGAAGGCCTGTGGTTTCAACCCAATCCTGGCACCTCGACTGCTCCAGTCTAGAATTGGGCAGCCTTTCAGTGGCTCAGTCCTCTTCTTTCCTTTGTGTGGCATGGCAGCTATGCACTGGCGAGAGGGCTCAAAGGGTTAGAGCACGAATTTACTGACCGGAAGGTCCGTGGTTCGAACCCGACCTCCGCCTCTCAACTTCCCTGTCTAGGCTTGGGCAACCTGGCAGTATCCCAGCCCTCGTGCTTCCTTNACAGAAATGCTACGCAGACGACTTGTTTTACTAAAGGTGATTATACCAAAGCCGGATTAGTAGGTGGGGAATGTATCAGAGACAGAATACTGGACTCAGGCGTACTCAAGTGGTCAAACAACTACATGCATTCAGCGTCAATTTGATACTGCGGCTTTCTTGAGTCCTGGTGTCAATGAGACACGCCGATGTGGAAGGAGAAACAGCCGTGTTCCGACAAAGATAATCGGTGGAGTCAGTCCAATGGAATCCGGTTGGCATACGAAGGCACAAAGCGAAACACGACCAAAACTCACCGGCTTGATGTCGTTCTCAAGCGCGTATAGGAAATCGGCACGTTTCACGACCAGCCGGTCAAAAGCATCTGGATCCAGTTGCGTTTTTCCGGAAGGCTAATGGGCAGAGAAAAAACAGGAGGCTGGATGAGAAACGGTGGATCCAAGTAGAATAATAAGATTTAATGCATTTCAGTTGGGGGTACGTCGTTAGGCGATTTCACCTGAACGAATGTCAGGTCAAAAAGTGTGGAAAATGCATCAGTTTGTGTATAAAATCGTCTGTCTGTCTCTTCTAGGTAAGCTTGCTAATCACCTACAATAAGGGGGAAGTTCGGGAACGAACAGTTGGCTTGAGATAGAATAGCCAGTCACCACAGAAGTAAAGATGTTATGATAAGACAAGTACTACAGTCTAGCTGTTAGCTGCGTAACTAGGCATGGTAACGTTTCAACCATGAGAATGGCTAGATCTAATTAATGGCACGGAGCGCCATATGAACCTTTGCCGTTTGAAAAAGCATTTCTGGTTCACATTAGAGTAGATCACATGGTAGAGACGATAAGGAAAGTGACAGAAATGCTACGCAGACGACTTGTTTTACTAAAGGTGATTATACCAAAGCCGGATTAGTAGGTGGGGAATGTATCAGAGACAGAATACTGGACTCAGGCGTACTCAAGTGGTCAAACAACTACATGCATTCAGCGTCAATTTGATACTGCGGCTTTCTTGAGTCCTGGTGTCAATGAGACACGCCGATGTGGAAGGAGAAACAGCCGTGCTCCGACAAAGATAATCGGTGGAGTCAGTCCAATGGAATCCGGTTGGCATACGAAGGCACAAAGCGAAACACGACCAAAACTCACCGGCTTGATGTCGTTCTCAAGCGCGTATAGGAAATCGGCACGTTTCACGACCAGCCGGTCAAAAGCATCTGGATCCAGTTGCGTTTTTCCGGAAGGCTAATGGGCAGAAAAAAACAGGAGGCTGGATGAGAAACCGTGGGTCCAAGTAGGATAATAGGGTTGGATGCACTTCAATTTGGGGTACTTCGTTGGGAGATTTCACCTGAACGAATGTCAGGTCAAAAAGTGTGCAAAAATGTACCGGTTTGTGTATGAAATCGTTGATTCCGTCTCCTCTAGGTAAGCTTTCTGAAAACCTACAATGAAGAGGAAGTTTGGGAACGAATAGCTGGCTTGAGATAGGAGCCATCACAGAAAAAAGATATAGTAATAAGTCGATTACTACAGTCTAGTTGTCAGATCACCTCCTATTTCGATGGTGTGGCGGATACACAGATGATGGTCAGCGTGTGTTGCGACTGCATTTAACGGCACCTCCTAACAAGAGACAGACTAGTTAGTATGAGTTCCACCAAAATGAGAAATTACGAAGTAAGAAGACCTGTGAGATGCGCCATTTCATCTCGGAAACATTAACGAAAGATTCGGCTGGATTCCAGGTGAGTCTCCGGTCAAAACCAAAATTGGTTTGCAGATGAGTGCATAAGTACTATTTCAGTTACGTGAAAAATTGTTAGCCAGGTGAGCGAACAGGTGTGCATGAAGTTGAAACGGCATAAACGATCAACCACAATCAGAAATTCTAACTGCTGCTACTCGGGAAATTCGTTAGTGCATGGTCCACGTGATTCTATGTAATATCGCGAAGAGATTTTGTATGAAAATGCGCACCCTCCGATAGTCAGCAGATTGAGTCCAGATTGAGTATTCCATAGGTATCAGACTGGGTGAATAGGAATCGGCTGTGACCCCATGGGCTTGAGAACATTAGGCAATAAAGTGAGTGCTTCTTATGCCCCGACAAATTTGGAAAGGGGGAAACAGTACTGAGGGTTAAAAGGAAAACAGTTCAATGTTAGGGCGGATGAAGGCACCCACGACTTAATCCACATTAAGAGCAGTGAAGGACAGAATGAGTTAACTCACGTCGCGACCGCCATGAGGCCGCTGTACACAACAAAAAAGGAGCCTTGTACAAACAGTCCAGGGGCAACCATTGAAACAAATCTTCATTAACAGAAAGCAGACAGAAAAGAGAGCAAAAGAGTAAAATTCCCACACATTTTTCATCTAGCTTGCGGCCACGACCACACAGTATTAAAAAAAGGGTGACGCACTACGAAAAAGGGATGACAAAGTACAAACACCACATACACTGATCAGCTGGTACATTGCAGTGAAGGCAGCCGCCCGACAAAGACCCTCGATTTCGGCTCCGCTAAAGTTTTTTGTTTTTGCCGCCAATTCTTCCAAACTGACGTCTTTGGCAACCTTACCAGACTGACGCATTTTTGCCGTGTGAATCTGTAAGATTTGTAGTCGACCTTCTTCATCTGGCAGGGAAATTTCCATTTGCATCTGGAGGAAGTTGTGGGTGAAAAACAAAAGAAAACATGAAACGATAAGTTGCCGACACATTCATCTGACCGCGTCTGTTCAGTACTGACTGTATTGACGAGCACAACAAGCAAAAACGGGTATGGATTGCATTTTGTGTACTCAACCATTGATCTTGAGATAACTCAGTGGCCAAGGCGTGAATTTGCTGACCTAACCTGAGCATCTCGACTGCTGCTGTCTAAAATTGGTCAACACGACAGTAATGCAGCTGAACGATTGATTCCAATTGACATTCAGTCTTTTGCTATTCGACCACAGAACTGAAATGTAAGCTACTAAAAGTTAATGTAAGTAGTAGTAAATAAAATATAACACAAGCTACTAGTAAGCGTTCGCAGTCTTCGACATTCGGTAGAGTGCAGTGATCAATGATGGTACCGCAGAAATCACAGTGATGGACAGCCAGGGAGTTCGAAATGACATGTAAAGTCCAGGATTAAGTTTGATTAAGAGTTGCGTGACTATGCTAACAGTTATACCCGCCTTTTACTCACTGCGTACTTGTTCGGTCGTTGTCCCCATAATGAGTACACTGCACACTTGCGTAGATTGGAGATTAGACGAGCCGCCAATCAGTTACCCGTTGGGTCAACACAGAGTATGCGATATCCGCCGGTGACCCAGCGTAGCTTTACAATAAGGATAAAGTAGCTACATAATGCTATTCAGTGTTATAGCACTGGCTTTGCATGACAAATTCTAAACTCACCCTCCTTGACCGAATTCCCTATGACAAAGTAGTTAGGCCGAATCCTACACTAAAACAGCCTTACCACTAGCCATTATGCGCTACTAAGGCGAATAAGTCTCGAGATAGCTCAGTAGATAAGAAATGAACTTACTGACAGGAAGGTCTGTGGTTCGAACCCAACATTAGTAACTCGACTGCTCCTACATACGCTTGGGCAAACAGGCAGGATCTTAGCTTTCGGGCTTCCTTTAGGTGGTATGGAAGCTATGTACCAGAAGGGTGCTACAGCTGAACGATTGTTTTTTTACCTATTTCACTGGGCCTAACTTGTACGTGCCCAGCACCAAGGCGAGCTTTAGGTAGTCGAAAACGTCTACGTATCCCTTGAATGCCGGTTGCCAATGGCGCGTTCAGAAGGCGTACGAATTTCCAGGATGTTCTGGCTACATACACTCCAAATGCATCACGGGATTTTGACTTGTCTCTGGGTATTTTTGAGCTTGGGATCGAGAACTCAGCTGAGGCGTCATCGTCACCACAAAAGTCCAGTGGATTTCGCACACCCAGTTACTGAGGTCAGAGACATTGGGCGACATGATGGGCATTAACGACCCATACATCACATCGGTGCTGGTTATTTAGTGATCCTATGACAGGAGCCTCAATCTACATTTTGTATGAATTGGCAAGACGCTTCGTATCAAATCGACCAAACTGCTTTGTGTTTGACTATGGAAAAGTGTCAGGACGCACCCAGACGGGAAAAAAGTACATGTGCAGAGAGTGGCGCATCCCCAAGGTCCCGATCGGTATGACACATTTCGAATAGCAGGTGCATTGGTGGAGCTCACCAAACACGGCTTAGCAACATAAGACCAGTGTAGTGGGGCTGAAATCGTTCACGACCGGAACACCGCCATTGGCTGTACTGAACGAACCAGTGAACGACCATATTTAGCCATTTAGTCATTCTAAATATTTATACAAAAGTTCTGTATGCTTAGTCCTGACAACACAGCCGTGTCCCGAGTTCTCTGTCTTCTTATCGCGTAGTCTGGCAGGCTCAGCGCAGGCGTAACCAATAGACGGCCACCCACGATACAACAAAAAGAGAGTGGAAATGTTTTGAAATTTTTACAGTGTTGTCGTAACTAACAAGAAATTGAGGATTTTTCTTCTCTGTGGTGACCGGCAGTGGAAAATTAAGACCCAAGTGAACCAGTGGATTACAAATAGCTCATGGGCTTCCCTAACGATAGTGTTATCCAGGTTAGGATCGTTCACTCACTCACTCCTCCGGGCAAAAGAAGCTGCATTTTAACGCTTCTAAGTTTGCGACAGTTGCGTTTTAATGATGGTTGGACAGAGAGATCCCCGGAATGGTGAGAAAATGAACAGACATCCTTATAACAACCAGAAAGGTGACAATAGGTGGAACGAGTGTTGGTCAATGTGCACTAATCTACGTGTGTTGTGTATTCAGTTTCGGGCAGATGAGAGTATCCTGTCTGGGTAACACTGAACTGATTGCACGGAAAATAGAAAGAGTTGGCATAAAATGTGCGATTGTGGATTGTCCCTCCTAGTTACCACAGCCAACTTCGTATAGTTAAATTTTGGCGACAGTTGTAGCAACTTGAAGAGATCCTTTAGCTGACTTCCGAGAAATACACTCATTTGCAAATCAATTTGGTTTTCACGAGAGACTCAACTGAATCTCTCGTTTATGACATTCTATAACCGAATGTGCTGCACACAGGCCGCCTCATGATTCAGTTGACCCGATATTCGAGATATCGCAGTATATTTTCATGAAGGAAACTACTCACAAGGTTTCCGAAAACTCTTCGATAAATGAGTGTATTTCTCGAAAACAGTCCAATTTGGGTTCAAGTATAACATAAGGTTGATGGAAACTCGGCGACTGAGCCTACCTGATGAGCCCCAAGAAGGGCGAAACCGGTCGTGGGCTGTCGAAGAGTTTTCAGCAACCTTGTGAGTAGTTTCCTTCATGAAAATATACTGCGATATCTCGAATATCGGGTCAACTGAATCATGAGGCGGCCTGTGTGCAGCACATTCGGTTATAGAATGTCATAAACGAGAGATTCAGTTGAGTCTCTCGTGAAAACCAAATTGATTTGCAAATGAGTGTAT